TTTGTGTTGGTACTCATAAAAAATAGATAATTCTATGGATATGGCGTATAGATTCTATGAAGTTGTGTGAATCTAACACCAGTTATAAATAATCCACTAATTCAATCTTTGTTTATCAATAAACTGTGCGTTGTTTGCGGCTTGTAAATATGTAACTATCATATTTGTGCGTCCACTAGTCAATTGTGATCTTATCTATGACTACGACCATACACTGTGGCGCGTTATATATGGTTACGCTTTGTGGTTAGCATTATCTATGTTTTAGCTTATCTATGATTTTTGGTATCAAACTTATCTATAGTATTAAATATAATTTTATCTATGCATCTATGCTATGCATTTAATTTTAATCTATGAGTTATGTCATGTACCTGTTATCTGTATGATCATTGATTAGATATCATGTTATTGATATTATTTGTGTTATAATTGTAGTTAACAGTATAATTAACTAAGTGGAGTCAGATATAATTTAGCTCTACTAAAACTACTTTGGTGTTGGATTGGCGTAGTGGACTGTAAACATGGGAGATATAAAATCTTTTTTACATCAATTTTGTCAGAAAAATAAAATTGAACCTTCCTTCGAAGTTAGACCAACAGGTTAGTACTAATCCTAATTAATGTTTATTAGACTAATTAATTAATAAATTTAAGGCCCTAAACATCGCCAAAGATTTCTTTGTGAAGTGCGTTTGCCAGGGTATACGTATGTTGGTGTGGGCAATTCTACCAACAAAAAAGATGCCCAAAGTAATTCAGCAAAAGATTTTGTTAATTTCTTGGTTAGACAGGGTCATATCAATGCCAGTGATGTTCCTGTTGATTTAGACGGTGGTTCTGCTCTTATCAAATCAGATAATGGTGGCCCTAATGGACCACCCTCTATGACAGGTATTAATGGGTTAATGTGTAGTTTTTATGTTGTAATTTATTAATTCGATCTTGGTAGATTCAGGCCCTCAACGCTCAGTATTCAGAGATGGAATGGGGCCTCAAAGCTTTGGGGAGGCCTACAAACCTTTACATCATGGCGAGAGAAGAGAATGGACATACATGGACAAATTACAACAGGAGAAACGAGTGGAAGAAGCAGAAGATGTCGATATGAATGCACAAATTCATGGAAATTGGACAGTTGATAATGCAAAATCTAAACTACATCAATTCATGCAGAGCAACAAAATCAGTGCTGATTATAAATACACACCTGTTGGACCAGATCATACCAAGTAAGTGGATATTAATAGTTAATGCCTTTTTAATTATCTATGATGTAATATGTTCAACAACTAGCCAAAAAGAATTTTATTTAGGGAGGAAGTGAAAATGTAGCAATTTTAGTAGTTTTTAGAAGTAGGTATCTGTAATATTTATTGTTTAATGTTATTTAACTCTTTAACTGATTATTAGTACAACTGAAGTAAAATTCATCAAAGTAAATACTTCCTACTGAATAACCATGACACCTACATAATTTTGAACTAATTAATACTAGAAAGACAAATTGTTTAAGAATTTATGCACATTTATTTAATGTAAAAAAAATACCACATACAAGTCATTAATGCATATATAATATAACTGTAATTAACTGCTAATTAGTTGATAAAAAACTAGTTTGCAGTTAAAGAAGAAAACTCAATTTTTAAATGACCACAAAACCAGATTTTTGTACAGTTGCTAAAATGCAGTTTTGATAATGTTATAACTAGTAATCGTTAGTTATGATTTTATCTTATTTGTTTATTTATTTGCTTACTCCCTCAGGTTGATATACATCTACATTTTTGTTATTTTAAAGGTGATAGCCAGGTACCCATATTGTTGTGAAGCTTTAGAGATAGTTCACTATGCTTACCAAGTTGTGCCTTTTGCAATTTATTTTGTAACTAATACTACTTCACGGTTACAGATTTAAGAATAAATAAATTTTGTATAGCCTTATCAATATTATTTTGTTAATTCACCAAACTAATCCATTTTGTAAAACATGACTAATATAATGCATATTAGGTATTAGGGGTGTTAAAAAAAATAATTGAAAGCGCCGTTAATTTATTTTTATTACATTATCATACTCCTATGTTTCTGGACTTTTTTTGTTCTTTTAATATATGAGTGCAGAGACAGTCTAGAAATATGTTTATTTTGCTCGTGTAGTTTTCTCTTTTTTACAAAAGCAACTGTACAACTATCTGTGTTTTTAATACAGGTCAATTGGCTCCTGCCACTCATTGTTGTCATGTATAAATAGTAGATGGTGAGGTGAGTACAGCTATCTCAGATCTAACCAATCACAAACTTACGCTACATTTTTTTTAATAGAAGTTTTGTTGCTGAGATGAGTTTCTTTGTGCGACAACTTGGTCGCTCTATTCACGGTCGTGATACCGGCTCAAACAAGCAAATGGCAAGTAAAAGCTGCGCTTTGTCTATAGTACGTCAGTTGTACCACTTGGGAGTAATAGAGGCGTTTTCGGGCTCTCTTAAGAAAGAGAAGTCTGGTCCTGAAATGACACCATATGAAATCCGAATTGATCCAGCACTCAGAGCGCAAGTCCAAAATTGTCTTGAAGACTTAAATGTAACTCCTACTCGAGTTCAAAGCGCTGGTGAAGACGACCAGCCGGTATCCTTGCTATCTTCACATGTTTTGGATGAGTTTAAAGCATCAGTGCCTGTTGCTAGTGGCGTGGTGCCTTGGTCACCTCCTCAACCCAATTGGAATCCATGGACTGGGTGTAATATAGACGAGGGACCTTTGGCAAGCTTAAGTTTAGAACAGCTGAGCGAACAACTCGCCCAAGAGTCGAGAGCTCGATGGCAAAACAGTGAGGAATTGCAGAAGAGTGTTCGCGAGAGAGAACAACTGCCTGTCTTTGCAATGCGTGCACAAATAATGGAAGCCATCAATGAACATCCAGTTATCATTGTCAGAGGAAACACAGGATGTGGTGAGTTATTTTATGAATCTAATGTGCTAATAACACATCCTGCTCTCCTCGCATTCCTTAAAGTATCTGTCATGCCACAAATCTTTCTTGCTACTGTATTTGATTTTTTCATTAATTGTTCTGAGTTTCCTTACCAGCTAAATATCCTAACTCGTACCTACCTCAAATAGCAAAAATTGACTTACTATTTCTGTTATCTGCTTTTTTGTTTTACTTTCTGTATTTTTTCTGCTTTTGTCCTTCCTTATTCCTCAATCATAATTGAGCTTTTTTGTCGACTAGGTAAAACGACACAAGTTTGCCAGTTTATTCTTGACGATTATATCGCGACGGGTCAAGGGGCGTGGTGTAACATTGCGATCACACAGCCTCGTCGTATTTCGGCCGTTTCAGTGTCTGAACGAGTAGCTAGTGAGCGTTGTGAGCAGCTCGGCGAATCAATAGGTTATTCAGTTCGTTTCGAATCAGTATTACCTCGTCCCTATGCCTCCGTCATGTTCTGCACAGTGGGTGTATTACTCAGAAAACTCGAGGGCGGTCTCAGGGGCGTTAGCCACGTGATAGTCGATGAGATTCACGAACGTGATGTTAATAGCGATTTCATAATGGTAAATTTTTAATATCTTTTTAATTTAGAAGAAAATGAATTAATTTAAGAATTACTTTTTCTCTAATAATTACCTATTGTTACTTTCAGGTGGTTTTACGAGATATGATCCACACTTATCCCGACTTGAGAGTGATACTTATGTCAGCCACAATAGATACGACATTATTTTCAAAATACTTTAATGACTGTCCGGTTTTGGAGATCCCGGGACGTTCTTATCCCGTTGAACAGTATTTTCTAGAAGACTGCATAGAATTGACCGGTTTTATTCCTCCACCAGATACTCGTAAAAGAAAATCGAAAGGAGGTGATGATGATGACGAAAATGCTCTTGGTGGTGATGACGATGAAAATTTGAATAAGGTATCTTTTTAATCCTAATCCTTTTTCTGTTTTGTAATTTTGTAAACATTTTTTTTTTTTGGTACAGATAATTAGCGCAAAATATAGCGAAAGAACGGCGATGGCTTTACAAAAACTAAGCGAAAAAGAAGTTAGTTTCGAGTTGTTGGAGGCATTGTTACTCCACATTAAGAAAATGGGCACTCCAGGTGCCGTTCTTGTCTTTTTACCAGGATGGAATTTAATCTTCAAGTTGATGCGCCATCTGCAACAGCATCCCGTCTTCGGAGGGTCTGAGTACACCATACTGCCATTACATTCCCAGTTACCTAGGGAAGATCAAAGAAGAGTCTTTGAACCTGTTCCACCCCATGTTACAAAGGTGAGTATTCTTTCTTACATATTTATTTATATAAAAAAGTTATTTTCTTGTCCAAAACTTGAATTGAAAATTGAAATTAATTATTTATGTATGTTTTGAATTAAGAAAGTATTTATTTCCAAAATTATTGTTTGTAACCGGTAAATTTACATGTAAAGTCCAAGTCCATAGAGGTTAAATGTATTATCTTGTATAAAAATTATTTTAAAATCAATCGTAAATAAAACTTAAAAATTATTAATAAGGTACTGCATCTAACAATCTGCTTTGTAATGTTTGTAGTAAAAGTGGATTATTTGTATATGAATCACCCTGTGATACTATTCCGTAATTAATGATTTAGTGATGAATGTTTTATACGATAATTTTATAAACCAGTTAGTAATGTAATAAACTGATTGATAAAATTTAGGTGATTCTATCTACCAATATTGCCGAAACTTCAATCACAATCAACGACGTTGTGTACGTAATCGATAGTTGTAAAGCGAAAATGAAGCTGTACACATCACACAACAATATGACGAGTTATGCGACCGTGTGGGCAAGTCGTACGAACCTTGAACAACGTAAAGGGCGTGCTGGACGTGTCCGTCCTGGCTACTGTTTTCACTTGTGTTCGCAAGCACGTTACGAAAAGCTTGACGAACATATGACCCCCGAGATGTTCCGTTCCCCATTGCACGAAATAGCATTGAGCATTAAATTGTTACGTCTGGGTGGCATTGGGCATTTCCTAAGTAAAGCTATTGAACCACCACCCCTGGACGCCGTCATCGAAGCTGAGGCTAGTAAAAAACGTTTTCCTATAATCTTCTGTCTAATTATGTTAAGTGAAAGGTGAAAAATATTCCTTTTACTCGTAGGTTCTTTTGAGGGAAATGCAAGCATTGGATTCCAATGATGAGTTGACCCCTTTGGGAAAAATCCTTGCAAAATTGCCTATAGAGCCTCGTTTAGGTAAAATGATGGTGATGGGCTGTATTTTTATGTACGGGGATGCGCTGGCCACTATGGCTGCTAACTCGTCCACATTTCCTGAAATTTTCGTGCTGGAAGGTTATCAGAGAAGACTTAGTTATCACCAACGGGCTTTGGCAGGAGACAGGTTCTCTGATCATGTCGCCATGTTGACCGCTTTTGAGGTAATACATGTATGAATTTTCTATAATAAAAAATATATTCAAAATTCTTACAGTTGTGGGATAAGGCCCGTCAAGGTGGTGAAGATGCTGAAATTCGTTTCTGTGAGCATAAAGGTGTTAGCATGCCTACTTTAAGAGTAACATGGGAGGCGAAACGTCAGCTTCAAGAAATCCTCACATCTGTTGGTTTTCCTGAAGAAAGTATGATACCCACGCACATGGAAACTGTTGGTCCAGATCCAAAATTGGATATGGTGATGGCTCTCATGTGCATGGGGCTCTACCCGAACGTGTGCTGTCATAAAGAAAAACGAAAGGTAATAAAATATAAAAATCATAAATTCTCTGTATTCTTTTAATGTTGACATAATGTTAACTTGCACATTTGTTTTAGGTTTTGACTCAGGAGAGTAAAGCAGCTCTAATTCACAAAACCTCGGTGAATTGTAGCAACCTTGCACAGACGTTTCCTTATCCGTTTTTCGTTTTCGGGGAGAAGATACGTACCAGAGCTGTATCTTGTAAACAAATGTCTATGGTCGCTCCCATTCATCTTTTGCTTTTTGGGTCAAGGAAGGTTGAATGGGTAAGTTATAGAAAAAAAAATTGTGAAAGTACTTTTTGGTCTTGATTTTGTGTTTCTTTTTCTGTTTAGGTAGACAAGGTTGTAAGATTGGATAATTGGATCAATTTCGACATGGATCCTCAAATTGCATCCGAGATCCTGGCTTTACGCCCCGCCCTTGAAAGCCTTGTTATAAGGGCATCTAAAGAGCCAGAGCAGGTGTTAGAATTAAGTCCCACAGATGTCAAGGTAATATTGTCTTAGCTTTTAAACAAAACATTTTTTATAATATTATAAATGATTTAGACNTAGGTGATAACGAAAAACGTTTTTATAACAACATGACGTGATGTGGACAATAAGTTTTTGTTATAATGGATTTTATTACTATTTAATTAAGAGATAACATTTTATAATGCGTTACATAAAAAATAAATGGTTTATATTTCTTTAAAGAATGTTTGTATCAAAATCTTTCATATTAAATTTTAATTCGCAACTCATGTCGGATAAAAAAAAGTATTTAGCGGTTGACATTATAATTTATGTATGTGGAAATCAGAGCTGATAAGATGAATAAGATTTATGATTCATTGCAACACCAAATGTTATAGAAACCTGTTCACCCTATCAGCTGTTACTTCTTCATATTACAATTAAAAAGGAAAATGGTATGGATACATAAATAGTAAAATATTTAAACAAAAATCGTTTTGTGACAATAATAATTGAAGAAATCATTCGCTTTCTGGATACGTTAATTGTATAATTTCGGATGCATAATCTGCAAGGGCAGCAATTATTGAGTTTGGAAATGTAGAAACTGGTGTGGGCAAAACACTACCATCAACTATGCGCAGATTCTTAATACTGTTCACCCTGTAAACAAAAACGAAAGTTCTTGTAAATACTAGGAGAAAATTATTCCTCACAGGATAGTTCAATATGTTTTCCTCTAAATGATTTTATTACCTACCTAAAAAAGCTATCAAGTACAGCATTTGAATCGTTTTGGCCCCCCATTGCACACGTTCCAGCAGGATGATACCCAGTCATTGAACAAAATCGTATTAAACATTCCAAGAAATTTTCTGTATTGTTTCCTTGTTCATCCCTCCACTGACTGCATTCTTCAATATACGGCCAGTGGATTTTGGCCCCAATTTTTTGAAATGGTTTCGTATCAATTAGTTTCTTCAACACTTTTACAGCTGAATAAAAAATATTTTTAATAACTTGACGCTTTATACATACTATCGGAATATTATAAAAATATAAAATAATTTTTAGGTGGAAGTTTTTGAATATGCATGCCAAAAGAGGTACCTAAGAAGGAACCTTATGGTAAGAATTTTTTCTATTGTGTGCCACGTATCGTCGTAGCATTGAGATTTGATATGTTTGATAATATTTCTTTCTATTTTAATTGTGAAAGGGTCTATTGTAGGGTATTGGCAATGTAGGGTATTGGCAATGTAGGGAACTCCCCAACCGAAAATACGAACTTAAGTTTTCTAATGTTTCTAACCTTTTTTTGTACACTCGATGTCATATTTATGTTCCAAATAATTCGGATTAATTATTGGGGCGGTCTTATAATTATTCGATTTCAGTATGATGTAGCCCCTACTTTTCGGTTGGGCACAGGTTGTCAAGAATACAAAACCCTCTTTAGAAAAATCATTACTGAAGGGAAACATTTTCTGAAAAATCTTAAACAATATGTCCAGTTATTTGCCTAATTACATATATTTATTGAGGCACCCAATTATTTACCTCAGATTTATAATTTCCTATTAATTTGAAAATATGTTCGTTCGTCGATCCAAAAGCAGATAAAATTATGCTAAAATTAGAGGGTGCATAAGCTACTCCAGCTATTGGTGACTTTGCGAGAACGCCTATAATAGAATATAAGATGTACCACTCGCAATAACGTGCAAGTACAGAACGTTTCTTTAATTTAAACTGTTTTCTACAAATAATATTTTTTAATAAACACATTGTAATTTCATTAAAATAAGGCCTATAAATAATATCTTAAATACGTAAACGTTGCCTCTTGTCGAAGCTTTTTCAAAATTTATTATAAAAAGAGGGAGAATGAAACTCGGATTATTGAGAAGAAATTTCAGCTGCGGGAAAGAAAAGGATAGAATTCTTTGAGATTTGGTGTTATAAAACTAGGTTTTTATCTTTTTCTTTTTCTTAGGAAATTATAAAGAAACGCGCTGGTGTGTGGCCAATATTTTATGATAAATCAAACTACTTCTTCCCCCTGCCCCCGGCCATTTTTATTGCTCCACTGTGACGTAGTGTCAGCCATCATTCTTTTCTAATTGTTGCAGTTGTCGGTCATCATTTTTTTCAATTGTTGATTCAATACATGTATAGTAATCAATGATTAAAATTTAAAGGAATTGTTTGTAAATAGGTATGCAACATATAGTACACTTCAGCATAAGAAATTGCTGATACTAACTACGTAATATTACTTTGCCCTTTGCTGACAGCACTCATAATTT